TTCTCTCTCGGCCAGATCTCTCCTTATCGTTTCCCCGCGTCTACGCGGCCATATTCTGAAATTTTCTGCCCTTTATTGCTACATCTCGTCCCCGCCCGTCGCCCCGTCGTCGCCACGGCTTGCCGCGGCTCGCCGCCGCCGCTGCGACGCAAAAGTCCCACAACAAACCCGTAGATTTTTCTCCCGCCACCCCGTATACCCCGTATACTTCGTGCGTGAGGCGCATCGGTGTGTTCGAAGGGTCAACGTCCGACCCTCACCACACGCCACGGATCGACGCGCATCGTACGCGCCAACACACAGAAGTCCGGTTTGTTTTGGTTTCCCGGGCGTTACCCGGACTCCCCACTTCTCTCTCCGGTGACTTCGACTCCTCTTTCTCTCTCTTGTTTCCCTTTCTTTCTCTCTCTCTTCCTTACTCGCCCATTCCCGTGTGCTCGCTCTATTTCTCCTTCTCTCTCTTTCCTTCCTCTCTCTTTCTCGAGCCGCGCGATATATCCCTATGTCCGTGAAACTCATCGCCGCGTGGAACGACGACGCGGTCCCAAAATGGGGGATTGAGACTCGGCAGTCAGTGACGTCAGGATGTGTACACGGAACGGTACATCGGGAGTATCGTTATTTGCGGACAATGCAAGCGACAGCTTCTACAAAGTTTACATTAGATATCAAAATATTTTTGTATGAATAGGACAAAAATGAGGATCCGTTTCAGACTGCAGACGTATGATATTTGCATTCCAAGTTGCGTCAGACAGGAAGAATACACAGATAGTACAGATAGATTTTTTTTTCCCCGTTCGAATAGCTCGGCGACGTCTCTACATTAAACAATCGGATTGATATGTCCGGGTCGGCGAGACACATCCGCTACGGTTTTCAGCCGAAGAGAGAACGGTTTGCATGTGAAAATCTCAGTAGTCGTGGGAAAGGCAGTGACGTAGGAAAATATAGCCCTGTGCCGCGCGCAACATTTGTGCAATAGCCGGCGGTTCGGCACGAGTCGACTGGTGGCGGAGAAAGCGGGAGGCCGCGTGGAAAGCGGGCTGTGTCGTAGCGTGTAGTTTGGAATCGATTTTTGCGCCCGCGCTCGGTTGCCGTATAGTACGCGTAACGTTCGATTCGCCGGAGCAACACGCTCGAACGGAAGCCCGAGCCTGCTGCCTGCAACCTGCGAGAACGGCCTTGGTAATCGGCGTTGGACTTTGCGTGCCCGACGCGTCTATAGGCGCGCAAATTTCTGATTAATCATCAATACAATCGAGACATGCGAAAATGCGAAATTGGCGAGCCCGAGTTCTTTCGCGCGAAAGAAACGCGCACGCACGAGTGATTCGAGATCCACTCGCTCTAACGAACTTCTCGGGGCGTTGACTTCCAGCGCATTCCTGCGGGGCGACGCACGTATAGTCGGTTTTATTGGCCGCGTCTCTGTTTTCGAAACGATTTAACGAGAATTTTTCACACGTCGCTTATCAAAAGACTTCGAGGAACGACGCCGACGCGACAACGCTCGGGGAACGTCTCGCCGGGGTAACACGTGCGTAATTTTTGTACAACGTTCTTCTTTCGGATCTTCACGCACGGAGATGCGCGCGCGCATACACATATAAGCGAATTCGCGAGCGAGCGAACGAGTAAGCGCGCGCGCGCACGCGTGCACAGAAGTAGTGGGAGAGCGCAGGGGGAGAGACGCGCGGTACTTGACGCGCTGGTAGGGGTGGATGCCCGCCCGGTACGCTCCGGCCTCCGCTCCGACCGGCAAGGCGATGCGTGTGCATCCCCAACGAGCCGCGGCTATCTCTATCGCCGGCAACGTCGTATCGCACGCGATGCGCCCACGAAACGCCGCCGCCGCGCCGTTCCGCGCCGCATCGCGGCCGTCTCTCGTCTCGGGATCGCGGCAACCCCGCGCTTGGCTTACTCATCCCCGCGCGCGCGATGATGTTCGCGCGCACGCGAAGGAGCGCGCGCGGGAAACGGCCTCGCGAAATCTACACCGCCGGGAGTAACGCCGGTTCGCTTCTCGTTGTACGTGACTGGCCCTCGGACGTTTTTTCGAGGCGCTCTTCCCCTGATTGAATTTTGCGATAGCACGCTGTCTCCATTACGCGTCACGCACAATGCGTGCACGGACGCGACGTGCTAGGGTGTTTGATAATAAGCACGTTTGACGATGTTAATCTTGGCGTGCGTTTCGCAAGTGAAACCTTTCGTTTCTCGCTCTCAGAAAATTATCATTGCGTTTCGTCCATTTTACTGTTACTATATTTTATTATCGAACACCCTGTATATAGGACAGACAACACATGCGTGAAAATTATAAATCGCGGCAATAATCACGCGTTAATAAAATTTCTTTGATAATTGTCGATGCGGGCTGATGATCTCATATACGCTCTTGAAAAATATATTTTCGTAGGTACTTTGTGCATTGTCTTTCGCGGATAGAGCATCCGAGAGAGTAGATCCGCGCCGATCAGTGGTCGCTATCGCGCACGCGAAGATGCTCCCCGGGACGCGTGGTGCCCTCTAGACTAATGCCATCGGTATTACCGCGTCGTATCCTAAAGGTCGTGGAGGAGGGCGGGGGGAGGTGAGGGGGGAGATAGGGGAAGTAGGGAGAAGGACTCTGCTGCGAAATTCTCCGGAGCACGCCAAACCAACGCCGAGAGGCATGGGCAAGGCAAGGCAAAGGGAGAGCGTTGCCTGCCGACCGGCATAGAAGGTCTGTGACCTCGGCAATGGCTGTGAGCCGCGGCGTATACGCCGTTCCGGCGTGCACCCGTCGTGTACCGTTTTCAGAGATGATGTCACGTACATCATCGGGAGATCCCCGAAATCGTCGAAATCGCCTCCTTCCGAACGGCACGCGTCCTCGCCTCGTCGTCGGACGCGTCTCTCTCGCGAAAGGGACGCCGGACGCGCGCGCGAAACGTCTCGCCTGGCGCGGCGTCGCGTATCGCGTATCGCGGACTCCCGCGGTCGCCGGCCTTTCGCCACCCGCCACCCGGTATACCGCGCGCGCGACGCACCGGTGTATCTCTCCCCGGTGTACCGTTTCGGAGCTGATGTCACTGCACTAGCGAGACCCTTCAAGCCCGTCGAAGCGGCAGCAACCTCTCGCCACCGAACGACGCGATCTCGGTTATCACGCGCGCGTCTTTCAGTCGATACGCCCGTGGACGCTTATCGGCCCGTCATTCTCTCTCTCGCTCTCTCTCTCTCCCTTCGTTGTCATCCCGTCACGCCACCCGGTATGCCGCGTGAGAGAATCGAAAGAGACGAGCGTTAATGGCGCGTATAGTAAGCCAAAGCCGCGCAAAATTGAGGGAAGCGATCGACGGCGGTACGGCGCAGTTTCCCGAGATCGTGTCTTAAGTGCAGTCGTTAAAGTCACTCGTAAATATTCATGCACTCATTAGCTAGACCGAACGGCCCGGCGACGTGCTATCGCGCGAATGCGTACTTAAAGGAATTATTTTCGCCGTAGTCCGACGGCTTATTAATCCGGAATGCTTTGAAGGGGCGTCCTTCACCGTGGCGCGTTAACGAGCTCATGATTGTCCTCTTCGGTTCAGGCCGTTACGTCGGAAAATGTTTGGCGTGTACGATCACCGGAGACGATCGTGAGACCGTTAACGAGTGATTAGCCGCATCCCGGATACTCGTCAAGTTACATCGACATCTGCTCCGAATCCCGTAAATTCGCAAGTCAACACATAACAGACCGGCGAGATCGATTTTCGGTGTGCATCGCTATAAATAAACGTTGAAACGTAACACTTTCGCGCGTATCCTTGATAAAACATCGAAATCCGAAATTCAACTCAATATCCGTTCCAAAACAGCGTCTTTCGATTTATTATCTACATTCTACAATTAACTCATTGCAGCTGCTGCTGCTGAAAATGCGATCAAATGATTAAGAGCTAAGACTAAATTCGTTTGTAAATATACTCCGAATCCCGTTGAGCGGACCGAGCGGATACGATTGTCATTCTATCCGCGTGTCGGAAGCGCTCTCGAGGATAAGGGAGATCCAGGTAATCGTCACTCAGATAGAAGACGATTACCACGCAGGTGAGGACGCGCGGAGGATTCTTTCGCTCGCGAAAGAATAGAGATGTGCGATGTGCCGGTTCCGCGTTTGCGTGGCCGTCCTTCGCGCTCAAAACATCACGGACCGCGTGGGCTTGTATTCCTCGCTCTCCTTCTTGCGATCAATACCACGTGACCGTATCGCCGTGACCGGCGCGCGGCGCAACGCGCGGCGCCTCCGCCGCGCCGGCCGGCCGATGTAAACAAAGAAACGTGCGCGCGGCGAGGCTGCCGCGCGGCATCGATTTTCCTCTCCGGCATGCGGGGCGGCGCGGCGGCTCGGCTTGGCGTGACTCCGACTGCAGGGCCGTCTTAAGACGTTCGGATTCGGATTCTTACAGGTTAGCGACACGACGCGTCTCATCTGCGATCCACGCAAGACAATAGTTCCGTTCAATGAGAATTTAAGTATAGACGGGAGTAAATTCCATGGAGCGTATTGATGTTGTAATAAAATCAACGAAAGAGCATTTAATCTTAACAAGCAGATTATATTAATGAAAAATGCTGAAGCTTATGATTTTAGTAGCAAAATAAAGGAAATAATTATTTATTCTTGGAACGGGGACCATTGAAAATGTCACGGATGACATTTCAGAGGGCGGATAATTGAGGGCAAAAAACAGTCCATTCAGCTCGATGATTAAAGCAGTCCTACCGTCAGCATGTGCCTACGGTACGCGCGAATTGCAATATCATGGTGTGCCGATTAACGCATCACGGAACGACGTAGAACGGAATGTTTGCCGAAACAAATTGTATTTGCCCGTTATCTCTTTTTTTTCCCCCTCTCGCGAAGTTCTCTCGGACGTGCAAAGTCCGGTCGGGTCCATCGTCACTTAATGCATGCCGCCGCTCGTGTCGATGATCGTTAACGGCTGTCATCTTTCTGTTTTCAGGCGAATGCGGCAGTGGTCTTCAAGTGCACTTGGCCGGGCTGCCTGGAAATCAAAGCGACCGTCCCGCTTATTGAGGAACATGTGCGCCAGTCACATCTGGGGTAAGTTTAGTACCTTAGATGCAATACGTCGCGTAAGATGCGTCGTTATGCGTTACGAGGCCGAGGCGGAACACGCGCGCGAGATATCAAGCTGGTCCCGTAGCCGAGGAAAGAGCTGTTGACATCAAATCTTTTGACTTTTCTCGTGGGCCGGAGCCACTGACAATCGATGCCGTTGTAACATCGGCACTTATCCGTACATACCCTCAAGTGTGTAACTCTCGAGAGAGAGCTTATAAAATTAATTGTCGCCTGGCTCGTAACGCACCATTTCACATTTTTTCTTGCCTATAAATGAATCAATGAAATACAACAATGATAATTTTATTGAGAACGTGTTGCACGTAAAGAAGCAAAAATGTAATAAAAAATTATATACATATGTCAACATATAAGCAAAGCATCAGCAATGACACGCTTTATATAATTAAATCTTTGTGATGATACAGTTATACAATTAAGATTATCTCTGCATGTATGAAATAAAATCTTTAAAACAAAAATATTGAGGAAAAAGATGCTAATAGTATTAATAACAAAAATATAGATGACGTTAATACGAAAATAAAGATTAACATGTTTATTGACTCGATGCTGATGAAGCAACAATAATGCTAGTACATATATTGTACACATGTTTATTCAAATATATGCACAGATACATATGCATTCACACATATACCTATGCGCATGTTTTCACAACTCGCGCGTATGCGTTTCTACATGAATATATATATTCACAGCTTCTCCTAGTTGGAACAGTAAATCAACGTACTTAAATCAATAATCGATTTAAATTTTGATGCTAATAAGCATTCTTATTAAATTACTGTAAAGAATTTATTGCGAGAAATATCACCCCAATTGTAGGAAGGTCCCAGGTTCGAACACTGGCTGGGGTGATATTTTTCGTAATAAATTCTCTACAGTGATTTATTAAGGATGCTTAAGCTTATTAGCATTAAAATTTATCGATTATCGATTTGAATATGTGGATTTATTGTTCTAACTGGAGTTATGCTTTAAAAACCGACAAAAAATTGACGCCCAGTTTACTGAGTTTGGTAAAAGTATATAAAATTCACACAATATTATCTATTTATTAAACTTAATTAAGAAATAACATAAACGAGTTAATAAACAGTAAATATATTAATTAAAATGATAAACGATGGAGAATTAGCTGTTTCGTAGAGCACGAGAGAGAGAGAAGAGAAAAACTAAATATCAAAAAGTAACGAATTAAAATACTTTACTGTGAGAAAAAAAAACAGCTTGAAATGTCATTGCTCGGCGCAGAAGATAGGAAAGCAAAGATTGAAAGCGGACTGAGATCATTTTTGTTTTACAGTCCAAAGAAGTCCAAGGGATGCGACAGCGAGGACGATATGTCCGTTCACGAAGAGGAATTCTATTATCAGGAAGTTGCTGTGGATCACATGAGCTCACCTCCCACGATGTCTCACCGGGACATGGCGAGACCGCCGCACGAGGATCCGGAGTATCAGAAGCAGCTTCGTCTCGAGACGACACCTGCCGCGAGTAACTACATCGAGAACGTAATGGTCGGTGTCAGGGAACCGAGCAACACGTTTACGATCTCGCAATCGCCGGTAGGTAATCACTCGGCTCAGGCTGTAAACCGGTACTACGAAAGATACAGTTTGATTAAATTTGCCCCCTTCTGTTTCCAGGGTACTCCTAATAAACACATCAAACTGTCCCCACGGCCATTGCAGGCGTGTCATCAACAGAACATGACAGCGTCCACGGGCAAGCCGTCCTCCCCGCGGCGAACTCGCAGCGATGTTAAGAAATGTCGCAAGATCTACGGTATGGATTCACGCGACCTCTGGTGCACTCAGTGCAGGTGGAAGAAGGCCTGCACCCGTTTCTGCAGCGAATAGGCCAAGCGTCCGCCCCGTTCGTACGTCCGTGGGCGGAAACCCTTGTCAAGTCGACCCCAGAGTTTGCCAATGCTACGTTGAACGTTAACACCAACTGCCAAATGCCAATCATCGTCGAAGACGCGGCGTCGAGAAAAAAAGCTCCCGCATTCGCGGAGCACACCGAGACCGCGAGACCGCCAATTATCGCCGGTTATCGCAGCGAAAACTGTTACCCTACGAATTATTCCAGCATGGGTATACCGGAACTTTTCGTGAAAAAGTAAAATGCAAAGCTCATAAAAGCAGCATTTCTTCCTCTTCTCTCTGTTTCCCGTCGATGAAACGGCATGCACGAGTTTCGGAGAGAATTACATCACTCTACGGTTACGGTTGGCGGGTAGCTCTATAGGGCCGATATTCGTGCATGATATAACACCTTTCTAGTGCTCATAGAGGAAGTTAACGACGTAAGATTTATCTGAACGATTTCCGCCCGTTCGTGTTTTGCACTTGGCAAACTCCGACCGGGTCCCTTAGCCGTAACGAGGGACTTTTCGATTAATAGATAGCAAATAATTGGCGTGCGGAGTGATGCGACCTCAGACGGTTGCATTCTCTCGCTCCCAACTCGTCTGACGAAGAGAACCTTTTGGTTCGGTACGAATGAGATACGCACTCGCACTCGGAACGAGCATGCATGTCCTTTCGAAATGCTGATTCCCGAACCGTCTCTTAGGTCATTGCAATAGATCTTCCTTCTTCCGCCAAGAGCGCAAACGTTAATGCGCTCTCGGTAATGATGGAACTAAAGGCGTTAAGATCTCGATCCTCAGGGACGTCGTTCAGCCGATCCCTGGAGAATGAGCGATCGAATCTGACGGACGAAGGAAAGACCGGCGGAATTCGATGTTTGGTCTGACCGATGTTCAATGCTAAATGAACGCAGACAAGCAAGATTGAACTCGCGTGGAACAGAGCTGCTAATTGTGATATTGTATCTAAATTTATTGGATCTGCCGCGAATCGAGCAGGAGAGCGCAAAGGCGTGTGAAGAAATGAGAGAAGGAAAGATTAAAAAAAAAAAAGAGGAAACCAAAATTTTATACACCAATTATACTGCCAGATAAATAATTCAAAAAATTGTTGTTCAAGCCTCTCTCTCGCGCGTTTAAGAGGCACTATATGTTGCACGGCATGCGTCGCCGTATACCGGGCTTAGCCTTGTTAGCCTTCTGACGACCTAAGACCGTGTTCGCCAACAAAGGAGCTGCACGCGCGTATTGGGGTAGGGCTACGCAGTTGAATCGATCGATCTAACATTTAATGAAGGTTTCGCTCTAGATCACACACACATACACGCACTCATTAAACACACGTGTACACTTACATACATACATGTACATACATCGCGAGCGCGAAAAATTATGACATCACATTTGTATAGTCTTATCTACGTCATTTCTTATACTTCTTTCTCGCTTCGGGTCGTTCGCGGGACGATTTATCTATTCGAATCGATTGTTTCGAAAAACGTTTGATCTCGATAATTTTTCTAATGTAGCGATAACGAATGAACACTTGCAAATTTTATATGTTGACGGATTTGATGATACAAACTTTGCAAGTAAGCGCCACGTCCTAAGAGGATTCAACATTAATGACTCCTGATTTTTCATCGTAATCGACTGAATTATATCAGAAACGAAATACGGGTTTTATTTAAAATGATACGAATCTTCTCTATACACTTAAATAAATTTTTTAGACACAAATTATATTCGATAAAATAAATTTATAAATATAATTATATACTGTTTTGTATTATATTTTTACACATATTTATACATTTTTATATATATTAACATATATGTTATTTACAAATTTATTTTAACTATTTTTAATTAGTCAAAATATTCAACTTTTTATTAAACTTACAAATCGAAAAAGAACTATGAAAGAAAATATTATTAACTATAGATTTGTGGTTTGCATGTGATTTGCGAGCAAAATTAAAAAAATTTGAACGTACAAATTTAAGAAAAATTTACGTAATTTTTCGTTTTTAATGTAATCCAATACGACTGCCATGAAAGGTGAGGAGCATTAAGATTTTAATGCAATAAATGACAAAAGTATTTCATACTTGACGGAAGAAAATCGGTGAGACGTCGCAATGTATGCTGTACTAAATATAGTAAAGAATACATAAAGCGACCCTCGCCAATAAAAGTTTCTTCCAATTTCCCGATCGTTGTTCGTACGTTAGTATAATTATCTTGTATATTTAGTATAGTTATATCCTTGTATATTATGTCTTGTATATTACGTGTATTATCTTGTATAGCCCCTCGTTTTTTTTTTTTTTATAATTATTGAACTTAATGTATTAAGAATTAGTATATCACTGTTGTTTATTAATATAATCACGACACGGGGTTTAGATTTTATTAGCATAATAAAGTGTCAGTTCTGTTGACGAATTGCGCTAATTTAAACTCAATGATTCGGGAGTATAACTCGGAAAGAGATCCATAATTCTCGTAAAAAAAAGGTATCGGATTACCCTTGTGTTCAAAACCATCGCGTTGTCAGTATTTCCCGACTTTTTATCAATTTCATCGCATCCGTACTTTTCAAAGAAAGATCGCGGTCTTTTTAAAAATTGCCAACGGTAGCGATCGTTATTTAACGCAATGTTGTCGTCGCACGGAAAAGATTCGTTTCTTCCCATATAAATTTTATGACAAACAACTCGTACGTTACAAGTTCATACCACGGCTGATTGTATCGAACTTCGTCTATCGAAAACTTATCGCATTTTATGAATTTTATGAAACACAACAGCACTCAAGTGATAATCACGGTGTTCATACGGGAGTTGAGGTGCTGTCGAGACCTTGATCATAGTCAATTTTTTATAATCGTGTTCACAATCACATAGATAATCGTTGTAAAGTACTTTGCAAAATAGAATGACATACAATTATTACAGATAGCATAGAAAGTAATTGCCGTCCACGTAGGTTCCTTATTGCTATCAAAATTGTTACGCTCGATTATTATAAACACAATTTACCGAGGACAATACGCAAACGGAAACTGCTAAGGAGTGATATTATTACTTAATACTTAATTGTTAACATGACTTTTCTGCCGTCATTTTATTCTATGCAATCTGTACATATAACATTATACAGTGCGGCGGTAACATTGAAACTTGTAATACCGAAGAGAAATTATTTCTAAAACCCTACAAGGCTTTCATCGATTTTTTTAAATAATCGTTTTTAAAGAACTTTTTAAAGTTTTGTATATAAAGTATTCTCATTAGAAAATTTTTTGAGATGTCCGATTCTCGTTTTAAATTTCGGCATTTTCGGATTTACATTTTAATTCGTGTCTTCGAACGCGTGCAGTTGGCGGCAAGTACGGCTTCATGTCTGACGTTAGACATTTCTGAGCTGAGTACACCGATGCATTACGATTGAGGGTTGTGCTTGAGGGGTGTGTTTGATAGCTGTCTGACGCATGCACGAGCTTGAATATTAAGATTAAAAGATAAATAACGGATTATTAAATTAAAATATTATTACAAAATAACGAATTATTAATTCGACAACATTAAATTGAAAGGGAATAGTTAAAAGAATAGTTTTGGATTTTTATTCATGAGACACGAATATCTAAACACGATTTGTTCGATGCGAAGACATACACGTGACGCTAAATGTAATATTATTATAGGCGAACTTTTAAGGAAACATATATTGAAACGGGAATCAATTGAAACCGTTTGGCGAAACGACAAATAACGCGTTGAATCGTCTCAACATTTCGCGGTAGTAAAATAATCCAGCCCTTTAGCCGATCGTTTAAGCTTCCGACTCCGTTAACGGCGTAACGGCGCGATGCGAATTCGCGATGCGAGATCGTGTCTGTCGTCACGAACACACGACATACAAAACACACGCAGACACCCGCAGCAATAAATTTCCGATGGTCTCTCAGAAATTCGTATATATGATTTATTGTTAATCCCATTCTGCACGATAACACGAAACAGCAGATCGCGTGCTTAGGATCGAGTGTCACTCGACAGGAATATCGCGTTGAAGAGAATTTTGGCGGACATATATACCTATCCGCGGGATGGCACTTCGCGAATGTAAACAAGTACAAGTTTATCAACCTGTGCCATTACGTATGCCAAATATTCTCTCTTAATTCCGCCCTCGCTCTCGCGTGAGGAACAAGCGAGAAAGGGAAGAACACCTTCGCGCGCGAAGGTGCAAGCGGGAAAGGGAGGGCGGGGGGGAAAACGGAGTTTCAAACATTCATAACGAAAGCTTTACAGACTTAAAGATACCTCAGGTTTATTTCATACGAACGTACAGCATACACACCTCGTTGTCCCGTTCGAAGCGACCGACCGGTCGAGATACGTTCTCTCTCTCTCTTTCTCTTTTTTTTTCGCACCGTTCCACAACGGCGAACGATCCGCCCGTCCATCCGTCGCTTCGACCCGGACGACCGACTGACGAACACCGAACGTTACAAAGTTAATATGTATCTCTCTCTCTTTCGCGATGTTAATGTCAATAATTTACTTAGTCAAAGCTCCTCGTCGCGACGAGTCGTCGCGGCGATTCGGGACACCGTGTAATATACAATTATAGCGAATACCACCGCGGGGGATTAATCGGCGGCCTGAGGACTCTCGAGATCGCGAGTCACGCAGCCTAAACCAGATAACTTCCCCGTCGGTGACGAGCAACGCGAGCCCATCGTCGTCTCCGTTCGATCATTCGCGCTCTCAGACGTTGATCGCGTTGCTCGAGACGAGGATTTGTCGCCGATCGATCGACGAGCGGTGCACGTTTCGCGTTTGCGCTCGCGGGGAATAATCGAGCGCACCGAGTTCGAATTCAGAAAACGCATCTCTCTCTCTATCTCTCTCTACCTCTATCTCTATCTCTATCTCTCTTAAAGCTGCTGCATTACGTTCGCGGTATAATCGCAAATTCCCCGATTCAATCAGATCAGGATCGGGCTTTCGATCGATTCGACGGGCGGGCCAGTCGTTATGCGAGCGATCGTGCGGCCGGGGTGAAGGGAAGAAGGGGGTTTTCCCGTTATTCCGGGGGGGAGCTGGGGGAGGAGAGAGACCCCGTCGGTGCACGACACGATCGCCTCGGTTGATTATACCGATACTGGAGCTCTGTCCAGCGCGTTCGCCGAGATACCGAAAGAAGGGATATTGTGTTGCGGGTTAGAAAGCTAATGGCCGGGATTATCATACCAAAACGGATCTCATATCGATTTAATGAAGTGTAATTTTTTTTTCACACGGTATATGTACGGCCGAGCCCCGATTTGCCGAACGGCCAGCGTCGCCGTACGCCAGATTGTATCGTGAAGAAAATTGTTAGTGACGCGAACGGTAGAATCTGCTGTACGCGACCGCACACGGGGGGGGAGAGGGTGACGTTTTAACGAAGCGAGGGGGTGGCTTTTTTGAGAGATCGTAGCTCAATGGGCTTTAGACTATTTGCGCTCGGCCGGCCGTACAGCGCGCGAAGACATATTATATTAATATTATATTATATTATATATTATATATTATATATTATATGATTATTATTATTATTATTATTAATTTTTATTAATTATTATTAATAATAATTATTGCATCCATCGTCGTCGTCATCTTCTCATCTTTAACCCTTAACACAATGATTAGCGTCACTCACAAGTACGTTAAGTAATTGTTAAAGCGCGAAATCTTTATTAATATTGCGTTAGGTGGAGCCGTTAATATTTCAATCGCCCCGCGTTAAGAGGGTAACGTTTCAGGACGGATCGCGCGTTCGGAGTGATCTAGAAACATCGAGCCAGACCGTGAGAGGTCGGAAACAATCTCGCAAGACGTGCAACCAGCGACTCTATCATTCTTATATCCGTATAATCGCTGCAAGGAATAAGCTTCTATTTATCGATAATGCGTATATAATAATAACGCTGCGGTTATGTCGCATTATTTGACACACTCGATTATTCTAACGTATATCGTATATGACTGATGAGAAATTACGATGCAAAACACAACGTTAATTACGTTTGAG